CGCGGGTTACGTGGGGCGTTCGCCGAGGGCGACGGCCGGGGGTAGGCGGCACGGCCGTAGAAGGTAGCCGGCTCGGAAGGACTCGGTGCATCAGCCCCCATGGGATGTATTTCACGTTGCACCGGCTAGCAGCCCTGCAAGGTCACGCAATGACAAAGCGCTGGTTTTAGAACAAAGCGCGCAACAATGTATTACTATGTCAGCGCGGTTAGTAGTAGGTTTTACACAGGGCCATTGTATTTCTGGGTCTAGTGACTTCGCGATTGTGTCATTGCACGTGCATGCAGGTATTGTAGCGCGAAGCTCTGTGATTGGCCTAGAAATGTGTGTCTTCAATCCGCGATGTGCAAGGCCATTGCGCGTGCGTGTGTGTACTTTGGCGTGAAGCTCTTCGTTAGCCTAGAGATGTGTGTCTTCAACCCGCGATGTACAAAACCCAGTCGCGTGCGCGTGGGTATTTTGGCGCGAAGCTCTGTGATTGGCCTAGAGATGTGCATCTTCAATCCGCGGTGCGCGAAGCCAGTAAATAACGCGCAACATGTACTTTCCGCGCAAAGGATTCTCATTGGTTAATGAGAAGTGTATTTGAATCCGCGGGGGGCTATATAAGGAGTACTTTACGCGCACAAGAGGCAGATAATATAGGGGAAGAGTAATGGGGGAGTTCTAATATAGAAATTTAGGAGATAGTTAGTAGTAACGTAAACATTTTACCGGGGGGAAAGGAGTGGGGATTAGATTGGATTTCAACCAAGGGCGTATAACTTATACTGTGTGTCACCTCCGCGAATGCGGACATGTTTTTGTATGGAATAAACGGCTCTCTTTAAGCCATTAAAACGTATTCCCGGCTTGTGTAGTATCTCTGTCGAGCTACATCCACGCACACTCACGCACTCCGCAGACCTGCCGAAGAGCCGGCGATATACTGCCGGTAGGTACAGAACACAACGCAACAAGGTACTATACGATCACGAAAACGGTGAGAAGAAGAAGCAACGGAGAAATGCCACACTGGTGCGCGTGAACAGAGGATCACGCCCGGAAAACGCCACACTGGTGCTGCAGGACCAGGATTAGAAGAAGTCGCAAACACGAAAACGCCACACTATTATTATGATTATTTAATTTTTGAACCGTAAAATAGTACGACCGTATTACCTCTCATGCCTGCAGCCTTGCAGCATATATGGGCGAAATCAGATAGTTTAGTTCCTACATTCAACTAAGTGTGGAAAACAAACGTATAAAACCACATGGTTACACATACATGTACACCACACACACACACACCACAACACACACACACATCACACACACACACACACACACACACACACACACACACACACACACACAAACACACACACAACACACACACACACACACACACACCACGCACACACACACACACATATATATACATATATTATATATATAATTATACACACGGTTGATATATCTGGCGTGTGTGTGTGCGTGCGTGTGCGCGCGTGCGTGCGTGTGCGTGTGTGTGTGCCGCGCGCGTAGCGTGCCGTCGTGCGTGCGTGCGTGCGTGTGCGTGTGTGCGTGCGTGTGTGTATGTGTGTGTGTAAATGTTTTGGCAAAACAACATTCAACGCAACAAAGCGTGGCAGTGTTTGGACAATGTGAATTCTCTCCTCACACTGGCTTTATAATGAATACATACATTCATACATCGCACTACTGCAACCATAGCCACCTGGACCCGGTTCCACAGACGTGGATGAACTTTAACTCTGAGTTAAGGGTTCAAGGATAAAGATGATGTCCAGGACGGTGATAGGATAGGATGATGTTTATTACTGGACATGCTCTCTATCCTTGAGCCGAGTTAAGTTAATCCACGACTGTGGAACCGGGTCCAGGGTCGTATCTAGCAGAGGGAGAGGGGGTAAGAGGGCAGATGCCACCTTCAGATAAGTGCAGATATTATTACATGGTCAATTGTGAATTTCCCATGGTCAACTGCCTATGTTGCAAAGCCCCCAGGCAAAATCGAGTTAGCTATGCTCGTGAAAATGTATTGATAGACATATCTAGAATGTCTATCTAATACATTAGTTCTATGACTGCAACACACGACCACAGCGTTGAATTCCATGTGAATAGAAATGTATCTAAAACTCCTGACTGGTATTGCAATCTCGCGCCACCTCGTGGTGAACGCTAGATACTATGTCTTTCACGTTATGACGGTTATAGATGATATTTTTCTCGTGTGTTAACAAACCGAATTGTAGACGTTAGGAAGGGCTCCAGATTTATACGTGTACGGCGATGAAAAGTTGCGCCAAACAACGGTTATGCACAACGCCTACACTAACCGCGCAGTTACTGACTACTTACACGTTGTTTATTGCGATATACGACAGCCAATGCAACCACTGCGCACGTGAGTCATGTTTAGCGAGGGGCGGGTGGGGCAGCGAGGTGATGGACTTTACGCTATATGTATGAAATAGGTTGGGTGCGAGATGACTAGCCTTTATTTTCACGTTACTACAAGCTAGAGTTACAATTTAAAGACAAATATGTACATTTTACTGATAGTATCGTTTCATCAACGCCTACATCAATCACACCCTAGTTTTATTTAACTAACGTAAGCAACTACTTCCGGCTATTGTGAAAAGTAATAGTACGTAAGCGTCCATGTTTACTAATGAGTCATCTTCAAATTACGTCGACTGCGTTAATAATACAAACGTTAACGCTTAATACATTCAGAGTCACAATTTAAATACAAATATGTACCTCAATTACTGATAAAATCGTTTTATCAATGTATACATAAATCACGCCCTATAGTTTTACTTAACTAACATTGGTAATTAACTCCCGCTATCATTACAAAAGTAATAGCGCATGATCTTTAATGTTTACTAATGTGTTTTTTTTCAATGTTTACTGTGTTAATAATGCAAATATCAACGCTCCTCCCGCACATGTCAGCGTCACTTCATACGTCATCGTAGCGCAGGAAGGGGAAGCCGGTGTAACGCACTTCTCAGGTTCCTCTCTCAGAGTGCAGCATAAGGAAGCGTATACTTCCTATAGCTCTAGATATCGCAATAGTGGGCGGGGAGAGCGCTGCTATAATCTGTTTGTCTACAGCCGAGCGATGGTATAAATACTGCTGACTCGGCAGCCTGGGCGTAGCCGTCACTCTATCGCTCCATCGTCAACCACGTTGCTCTATCACTCGCCAGCACTGCTTGAGTTGTTGAACCTTGATCTGTCCTCTCTTCCTTTCTCGTTTCTCTCGCTCTCTCGCTCTCTTTTCATCTAGGCGTCATGGCGGCAGCAGTACACGAAAAACTGCACGAGCGCGTAATGGGTTGGAAGAAAGACGTAAACGATTGGCTGCACGAAAAGAACTGCTTCACAGATACTCTGGAGAAAGTGGAGAAGAAGACTGGCGTAGATCGATTGTACATCTTCTCTGGTGAGTATATATCACCGCAATGGTATACCCACATGTATTCTACGTTGATCGCAGCACAGTGATCGGTCTCTCTATCGAGCGAGATAGCGGCTCGCTGCTAGGGTAGATACGCGGCTCACAGTGATGCTAGCATATATATGCAGCGATCACAGAGGTGATCGTACGGATAGCGCCTGCTATCGATTCTCCTTCTTCCTCTCTTCGTCGTTCTCCAGCACACCACCGCACTCCCGTCCCGGTAGATCAGTTAGCAGCTGTCCACCTCTGCTATCTTCCGCCTGTCCCATGTTCCGAGAAGGTAGAGAGAAACGTCTCTGAGGAAACCGGGAGTGGGACAAGTGTCACGATATCTAGTCGCATCGATAGATCCACGCGTTCAGTGTGTCACCGGATCTGTGTCGCTCGTTGTCAGCTCTCCGCCACGCGCCTGCTGGTGGCGCTGCAGTCCTGACGGCTATCTGCTAGCTATCTGCTCGCTATCTGCACGCTATCTGCTCGCTATCTGTTCGCTATCTGCTCGCTATCTGCTCGCTATCTGCTAGCTATCTGCTTGCTATCTGCTAGCTATCTGCTCGCTATCTGCACGGCAGAACGTCACGTATAGGCGGCTGAGCGCGGGTAGACCGATGGAGACGTGTTAACTCTTAACTCTCACGAGTGATGCCAGTAGAATTCTCACAGCTGTTCCGTCGCGTTGTCATTGTTATTGTCACATCCAGGGGTCGCCTCCGTTTGTGTCACGTCCAGGAGTCGCCACCGGGGGCCGCCTGCCTTGACGCTGCTGCCTGGGTTTGCTCGGCGATGTTTGGGAAGGCTCGGAGCGACTCGGCTGCTGCGAGTACGGTGGTGGGGATGCTTTGGCTGGTGCGCGCAGCTTTTCGCGGCAGTGGTGTTTGTTAATCCGCTCCCGCGCCGCACTGCATGGATACTGGCTGCTGCTGCTGCTGCTGCTGCTGACTCCGTCACTCCGCACTCAGCATCGCACGGCCCTGCGTGATGTCTCAACCCGTGGTGGTGAGCAGTGCGCATGCGCACAGCTTCTTCTAGTCTCGTAGCTGGGTAGCGACCGACACCATGCATCACTATGCGCATGCGCACACATCGTGTAGGGCGACAATTTAGAAATGACATGCGCGGCTGTCTGACATTCGCGGCTGTCCCCTCGCTACGACGCCGTGCATTTACACGTATGTGTCACATTGTCATTCGTGGGAGGGGACCATAGAACTACCATAGAGTCTATATTCTATTCCAGTTCTATGGAGGGGACGTGGTCTTAATTAAGAGCGTATTAAAAAGGCGCTATTATTATTATTACCTTATTAATACGTTCTTGTGTTTATCCACCGGCTGTTACACCGGCTGTTGCACCAGGGACGAGCGCGTTTTCGTGTATAAAACAGAAAACCTAAATTCTGTTAAAGCGATGCGAAGACTAGCGAGATATTTCTTCGCCCCCCCCCCTCTCCCGAGGAGTTCCGGATTTTCTCGGATGGTTAGCAAATGTGCGGCGGGTCAGGCTGAGTAGTCTAGTCACACTCGGAACAGTGTCCATGTTATATAGCATCAGGAGAACTGCGAGCGGAGAGAGAGCGCGCGCGTCTGCGTGCATGCGTGCATGCGTGCATGCGTGCATGCGTGCCTGCGTGCATGCGTCTTAGTTCTAGTTTGATCATGATTGAGGAGTAGACTCGTGGGTGCACGGCCGCCGACTATGCGTGAGACTGCTTGTGTATTTCTGTACGTGGAGGTCGATTGAACTAGCATCTCATTATAGATGCAGTTCAATTGGAGATGATTTCGAGTGCATGTAGCGATGGCTTCTATGCGCATGCGCTTATTAGTATACTCGTAGATAAAATCATTATTGCGAATTCCTGTATGCATTCCGGATTGCATAATTGGGTATTCGTGTGCGTGCATACGTGCGCATGTGTGCGCAGTGTGCACTAACGTCTATATATATAAATATAATTAGAAGTAGATGAATAGAGCGTGTATATATACCCATATACTCCTTTAATAATCAGAGCGTATGAAAATCCGAGATGCCTTTCAATAAAACTAGCTTCCATAGAGCGTTAACAGCGTAACACATGTAAGCGTGTTTTCAGCGTTCCTGCGGAAGAACGGCATGAATGTGTGCATACCAACATGACAACCGAATGCCAACATGATGACAGAATGCCAACATGACAACAGAATGCCAACATGGCAACAGAATGCCAACATGGCAACAGAATACCAACATGACACAGCTGCTTACACGTAACTCACCAGACCGCTCTACAGCGCTACTACCTGCCCCACCCTATTATGCTTGCCCAATGACATCTACCGGGGCAATAGAATGGACTGATTATATGTAGATTAACTAAAAAAATGCAAATATTTGGCTCATATTCTGGACGATATTCGTTACACGGCGCAACATGTTATGCGTTACGTTGACTGTAGCTACACTTTATTTAGCTACTCAGCCAGGTAGCTACTCAGCCAGGTAGCTACGCAATCATCCATGTAGCTACTCAATAATCCATGTAGAGCACTCAGCCAGGTAGAGCCTGAAGGTTAAACTCCGAGTTAAATTTGGGTTTCATAAACATGGATTAAATCCTGAGTTAAGTAACTCAGAGTTAAATGTTTTAACTCAAAGTTAGTATTTCATAATTCCACGTAGTTAGAACAGACGAACATGATAGACGCATAGACGATAGACGCATAGAGGATAGACGCATGATAGACGCACGAACATGGTAGAAGGTGTAATGAAAAAACGTTATAATGAAAACGGCAGCGATGAATAAATGATGGGAAATATTTTCCCAATTATTATCATGATGAATTATGAACCCGCGTCGTTCGCGTTATTATCACGACGCTTTAGCAGCTGCAGCTATTGCGAAATCGCTAAATATCGTACATTTTCCCGTATTATCATCGTACGAATGCCGGGATCAGTGTTGGTACGCCAGCAATGGCCGACCAAGGTACAACAAACCATAGCAACAAACGTAAACAAACACCGTATGTTCGAGCGCCAGCGGGGGATCGGACACGGAAACTAATTAGCTCTAGTATTCGTATCCTAGAGCTAAACTATAACTTCGTAGAAATTAGTCTTCAAAGTCTAAAGGATTGTACCGAAGACTATCTATAACTAAATCGAATGTAACTTGATTTTTAACCCTGCGTTAAGAGTTTAATCTAGGTTCATACCAGAGTTAAATTTTAACTCAGAGTTAGGCATATATATATTTAACTCAGACTTAATCCACGACTGTGGAACGGAATTTAACTCTGAGTAAACTTTTAACTCAGAATTAAGAAATTTAACTCAAAGTTAAGAGTTAATCCACGACTGTGGAACCGACTGTGACTGTGGACTGTGGGACTGTGTGGTTTTATGGTCTGGGTGGGTGGGTGGATGTATTTCGCAATAGCCGCAGCTGTTAAAGCGTCGTTATAATGACGCGAGCGTCGCGGGTTCAATCCTTTATCATTTATTTATCGCTGCCGGTTTTCATTATAACGTTTTTTCATTACACCTTCTACCATGTTCGTGCGTCTATTATGCGTCTATCGTCTATGCGTCTACCATGCGTCTATCATGTTCGTCAGTTCTAACTACGTGGAATTATGGGATACTAACTCTGAGTTTAAACATTTAACTCCGATTTACTTAACTCAGGATTTAATCCATGTTTATGAAACCCAAATTTAACTCGGAGTTACTTAACTCAGGATTTAATCCATGTTTATGAAACCCAAATTTAACTCGGAGTTTACTAACTCAGAGTTAGTGAGTTTAACTCAGAGTTAGCTTTAACTCAGAGTTAATTTAAAGTTAATCCACGTCTGTGGAACCGGGTCCTGGTAGCTACTTAATCAGCCAGTTAGCTACTCAGCCAGGTAGCTACTCAGCCAGGTAGCTACTTAGCTAGGTAGCTACTCAATCAGCCAGGTAGCTACTCAGCCAGGTAGCTATTCAGCCAGGTAGCTACTCAATCAGCCAGGTAGCTACTCAATCAGCCAGGTAGCTACTCAATCAGCCAGGTAGCTACTCAGCCAGGTAGCTACTCAGCCAAGTAGCTATTCAATCAGCCAGGTAGCTACTCAGTCAGCCAGGTAACTACTCGGCCAGGTAGCTACTCAATCAGCCAGGAAGCTAATCAATCAGGCAGGTAGCTACTCAATTATCCATGTAACTACTTAATGAGTCAAGAGCTACTCAGCCAGGTATAGCTTCTTATTTAACCAGGTGCCGGGACAGCTCGACCAAGCATAACTTTAAACTGCTCTATAGTAAACTCATAGTGACTTACTAAACCGCAGCACTTGCCACGTGTAGTGATCTGTTTGTGTATTGCAAAGCACGTACATTAGATCATTGAATTACCGTGAGAGCTCGCAGCATGGAAACACGGGCTGCTATAGAGGTTATCATATCTTTCGAATGCTTCCTTGCACTCATACAATATACCTGCTTGGCCGAACAATGCATGTTCCTTTGCGCATGCGCATCTTTTCACGCGAAGTAATCGAATTTCTGCTATTTGAGATCATCGATGCAGCGTTATCAAGCTCAAACTTAATGTCAATCGATGTGTGGGTGTTTGCGTGGGTTTTTGTTAGTGTATATGCGTGCGAGTGCTAGTGTACGTGTCATGTGTATGTGTGTGTGTGTGTGTGTGTGTGTGTGTGTGTGTGTGTGCCTGCTGTGTGTGTGTGTGCTGTGTGTGTGTGTCGTGTGTTGGTCGGTGTGTGTATACGCTGTGTGTAATGTGGTGTCGTTGTGTGTGTGTGTGTGTGTGTGTGTGTGTGGCGTTGTGTGTGTGTGTGTGTGTGTGTGTGTGTGTGTTGTGTGTATGTGAGTGGTGTGTTGTGTGATGTGTGTGTGTGTGTGACCTGGATGTGTGTGTGTGGTTGTGTGTCAATGTGTGTGTCTGTGTGTGCCATGAAATGTGATGCGCGCGCGCGTGGTGTTGCAGCGCGCGCGT